CACACACACACACACACACACACACACACTCGCTCTCTAAACAAGCATAATGCATGCAGACACGTGCACATTAGAGCCTCCGAGGCTTTCGTCGGTCGACCCGCCACATGATCCGATAGGCCCTCTGCGGCTCGTTCGCCCTCTAATGTGGCAGATGTGATCTTAAATTCACTTTGTCTTTTATCCTGAGTTTGCACATCAGGGTCGCCGTCCGCCTGCTAGCTGGTTAAAGCACCCGCACGCTCCAATTAGGCGCCAAAATTCTGGGTTGTTTCCAAGCAACCTACATTAAGCTGCAATTGCTGTGAGGGAAACAAGGCTTCAAAGCTTTTAAAGGATGTTTTTCGCTGTTTGAATGCAAGTGTCTGAGTATGTTTGATGTGTGTGTGTGTGTGTGTGTGTGTGTGTGTGTGTGTGTGTGTGTGTGTGTGTGTGTGTGATCAGAGCACTGAGATAGCAGATTCACTGGATGTACAGTAGGATTGTGCCTTCATTGATCCTTCCTGTTGTTGAGCAGCTGACCCCAAAGTGACGTCGGATCTCCCTCTGGAGGAAGAAACCGGTAAAGAGACGGCGACCATTACATAACGCTACAGTTCATCATACTGTATATCTCACACTGATGCACTATGTGAGCTCTCATTATGCCAGTGCCCTATGTAACCCTATGTCATCCTCTCAGGCATCAGTTGTCAGTATTACAGACCAACTGTTGATGCCTGTCACTTAGCTGAGGCCTCTTAAATGCTCTGTGCTGGCACTGCTCATCCTCCTCATAGTCAAAAGGTGACTGTGACATATTCCCTCCATTACCTTTTTATTTTGGGTCAATCCTCTCACAGCCCTGCTACTCACTAATTCATAACAGTCCACAGCTGGAAATAGTCCCCAGCAAGTACACTATTTACTCCAATTTGTGCGAACTTAGCTGAAATCTACAGTGCCCCAGCTGATTTGGGGAATCATTATTTTCCAAAGATGAAACTATTTGTAACGTGTTTTGACAGATTTAGATCTGCAGTAGGAACCAGTGGGTTTGGGGCTTAGAGACAGAGTAGGGAAACCATGTAAGTGTTGACAGAAAGACGAACACACCAGTTGGTTTTGGTGGTTTCATGGGATTTCTCGACATTAAAAGAAGTATGTAACATGTGATATGCCTGCCTCAGCTTCACAGATGATACACGGCGGACATCACCCACTTCAGAAGCCTGATGTGTGATTACACGGAGACTATATCCATGTTTTAAACAGTCTCTGGACTCACCAAGCATGGCTGTAGTCTTGTACTATTGTACATCACTGCCTAATATCATACGATATTATACAACATACAGTACACACAATATGCAAAGCTCAATACAACATCCAAATACATTGATTTACTGTATTGAACAATGACACCACAGTGACATATCAGACCCTGAGTTTAATGAATCATAACCCTAAACTATATCGTCCCAGTTACACTATTCCGATTTATAATTGCAAGGGTAATATCAATCATGATGAATAATTAAGATAAATTGCTGATGTCATGCATTTAGATTTATCCAAATTTGCTGTATTTTATTACCTCACTTGTGACATTCAACAGTTGTTTACATGTAATGAAACTCTTTCTGAGGCTGCATACAATACCACAGCATATTGCCCCAGTTTTGAAAAACATCAGCCTGCTCTACTGGGACCTGCTGCAGCATACATAATGCATTCTCTCTTGAAGCGAAGCTAGCTAATTAACAGGAACATATAGTTGGTTAATTAGCAGTATGCCAAACAACCCTCAGAGGACAGACAGCACTGAATGTCAGAGAGAAGGATTTAAAGTCATAGCAGGAGGTATAACGGATGATTTATGATAAAAGAGGCGAGGGAGAAAAGAAGAGGGGACAGGTTGTCTCAAAGAGATGAATATTTGATTTAATCTGTGCTCTTTTAGAATATGAATTCATTACTCTGCATGTTTCTCTGTGTGAACTTTAATGCGATCCAGCTCACTGCTTTTGACATCAGCTACATTTTCATTGAGTAGAGTCGTTGAGACTATCAAAGAATTAATGAATTTACAAAATGAACACAAACCACAGAGAGAGTCCTTTTCAAAAGTCAATACCAGAGGTAGAAATCATTTACCTGAGATCAGAGAAGGAGGCTACACAACACGAGACTGAAGGAGAACAAAATGGGGACAAGAAAGGAATCGTTTGACATTTTGGGAAATACTTATTTGCTCTCTTACTGGGATTTACATCAGAAGATTGACACCACACTCATGTCTGTACTGTAAACATGAAGCTACTATGAGAACTAACAAGTTAGCTTAGCTTAGCATAACGAATAAAAACCAGAGGGAAACCACTAGCCTTCATGGTATTTAGGCCTTTGTGCTAACCTTGTGCTCACACTAGATTAAGAATCTGAATCAATCAAGTACATTTGCCCTTACAAGGAATTTGGCTTGATGATTGGTGCATAACAATAAACAATAGTTTAAGACATATTTTAAAAATAAAAATATGAAAATTTACAATAGAATAAACTCTGTCAATGAAGTTAACATGTTAAAATGAGTCAGTTATGAAAGTGTAATGTGTATATTTGAAGTGAGGAGTTGTGCAGGGATGTAAGAGAGTCAGTGGGGGTCTCGCACTAAATTAGCTCCTTTATTTGTGACATAATTGTAGCAGTTTGTAACCAAGTGAAACCAGATACAAGCAGTGTTTAGCTCCATGAAATTTGTTGAATCAATTGTTTTAGTGTTTGATTATATTTTGATGTGACTGCCTGCGGTGGTGAATTTGCAGCCAATCTACAAAAGTGCTGTTAGGTGAATTGTGTTTGCTTTGGAAAGAGCCTGGCATGCTGTCTTTATTCTAAGCTAAGCTAACCAGTTGCTAACAGTATACCTTCATGTCAAACATCGTCTAACTCTTGGCTTGCTAAGAATATTTCCCAAAATATCAAACTGTTGCTTTAAAAATAGGACGTTAAAGGTGAAATTTAAAGTTATTTGTCAGCACTTTTTTTCCCAGGGCTTTTTACTACATTGACCCTACACCTGTGCTGAGATTACTCTTATGAGTCAATGATACTGTGTCAGCCCTTTGCACACTGCTGTGTAGCACCGCCATGATCACCCACCCTGCATTGATCCAGGCAGACTGTTTGGCACTGTATTGTGATTCCCTTCCTCTTAACTGTGGGTCACGTCGACACAGGTCACTGCAACCGCAACATGCCAGTCCTCCTACTGCTGTTTGGATTGCAGTGGCTGCACAATAAAGCTCTTCCTGGGAAAGATCAGGACAAAAAAAGGGGGTAGAAATGTCACCAAACTCTGAATATCTAACTCATTAACAGAGGAGAGAGGAGCAGAATAGAGAGGGGGAGAAGAAGAAAAGGCGTTGAATGAGAGAGATGTAAGTAATTCCTCCAGCCTGATGGTCCACACGGACCAGTGAGTTGTTCACTAATGTATTGATTTTCTTAATGATCTTTTCTTTCTTTAGAGGATTTGATGAGGATTTTTTTTCTTCTTTCTTTGCTTAATCTGTGCAGTGTGATGTGTGAATGTGTCTGTCTGACCATGTAAATAAATCAGTGGAGAGTTAAATCCTCTAAATGTTTGCTCCTGAGTGCGTGTGTGTGTGTGTGTTTGCCTTTGGTACAGGGTGGGGAGAGTTTAGCAGAGAATAACAGCCCACTAACACATAATATGATGTATGTGTAAAGTAAAGATGATAAAGTGAAGGGCAACTACTAACAGCTGCAGTTATAGATTCATTACGGGGATCCATTCTTGTGGAGTTACCCCTAGAAATAGTCTACCTCCAGTTTACTGAGGAATAAAGGATGCAGAATTGAACTTGACACTTGTGTTCCTAAACGTCCCATGACGTCTCCATTAGCCTATGTTTAAACTGAGGGGGCATAGCAGGTGTTTAAGTGCTGCTGAATTTCTTTAAAAGTGGGATGTAATTGTGGCAGCGTGGGAGCTGCGTTTCAAGTTTTTGCCATGCTAGCAGCAAAGATCAGTGTCTGTCTGTTGGTTGGTTGGTCGGTCTAACCACCACTTTGGTCCACACTGAAATAGCTCAACAACTATTGGATTGACGTGAATATATCTCACCGACATTCATGGTCCCCAGAGGATGAATATGACTGACTTCAACTTTTCATCTGACGCCAGCGTGATGTGCACATCGAGATGTATTCGATGGTTTGTCATGACATGTGGTAACTTGCTGGCATTAAGAGTGCCCTCTTGAATGGATGTAAAAAAGTTTGGTGATCCTTTAACTTTCATGTAGCGTCATTATGAAGTCATTTGTTTATGACCGAATACCTGAAAACTTGCGACATTCCCAACAGCCTCAGCTGTTATTTGTATGAAATAAATGTTAGCATGCTAAGGCCCTGTTCAGGCAATGAGCATTTTGCAGGTGGAAAACACGAGGCACCTGATCAAACAGAGCGGTTTTTTTCAGCTTGCTGCGTCTTTTACAAAAAAATGTTTCTTGGCAACAGGTGTTAGCTCAACAGAAACCAGGAACTTTTCAACACTCATGTAAAACGTGAGGCACTCAGCAAAACAAAAAGCTGCTATAACCTGCTCTGTCTGATCAGGGCCTCACTGAGTGTGCTAACATTATACATGCTAAACATGTTAGCACGTTAGCATGCTGAAGCAGTAAGCTCAAGTTCAGTCTCACAGTGCTGCTAGCATGGCTCTGTTCCGCTTACCAAATGTGTCTGAAACTTCTTTTTAAAGGTGGCAAATCATCAATTGGAATTTACTTTTAAACTGCTGCCTTTGAGAGCAATTTAGTTACTTCAAAGTGGTAATTTTATTATTCTGTCCACTCCTGTATGTCTGTGTGAGTGGAATGCAATGACCAGAAAATGTTTCATCATGATCACGATTGAAGGGTTGGCAGGGCTTCATGGTCTGTTTGGGTTTTAAATATCTCTCTGTTGTTGCCTCTCTTTTCTCCAGCATGATAAAACAGAACCTGGGTCCATCCACTCGCTCCATCTATCTGGGTCTGGCATGCCTGTCCCTTGCTCTCCACCTCCTTCTGGCATTTTTTTGTCTCTCTGTCCTCCAGACAGCCTGTGTCCTTCCCACCTCCTCCTCTTCCTCCATTCCAACTAGAACAGATACTCAGCACAGTCAGTCCATCTCCCACTCCTCCTCCTCTTCTTCAGCTGCCTCCTCCTCCTCACAAAAACTGCCAACGATCCCCCAGAGTGAAGAGCATCACAAACTGAATGCCAACACCTTCCACCATAAAAAGAACCACTCATTCAGCGATCCCACTGAGAGGGAAAAGGAAATGATTGGAGCTGGAAAAAGTCAAAAGGTCAAGGGTCGTCCTAAGCTGGAGGAGCTGTTCAAGCACCCGCTGTACAACCTGCCGCATCCGGAGCTGCAAGACGATGATTGGCTGCTGAGGGTGAAGACAAATGAACATGCGAGGGATAGAGGAAGTGAGGAAGAAGAGAGGGAAGACGCCATCGATGATGACAGTCAGTGGTAAGGGAAACTAGATCTATGTCCTCTAGATTATTAACATTAGTTCTGAATGTACTTCACACGGATGAGGAGGATGAGGTACAATAAAATATTGTGGTCCTATAGTTTCATGAAAAAGATAACTGGGGATATTCATTTTGACATCTCTTATTTCACCCGTGCAGCTTATTTCATATCTCAAAGTCAACCTGAAACAAACTCTCTGGACTTCAGCTCGACTGAGCCTTTCATTGACCAGTTCTTTATTTATTTAAGTCTTTAGTTATTTATCACCACCTCTTCCTCTCCTGAAGGCAGAGTGACAGCGAGGAGGAAGGCTACGACAAAGTCTCTTGGACGAGGGATGTGGAGACCCACCCTCCCTGGCTACGGTTCCACCTGGGCATCTCTCGCCGGGAGCTGTACGACAGGAAGGATCCCAATCTGGCCCAGCTGACTCACTATTTGGCAACGCAACGTGTCCTCGGTGCTGGTGAGCAAATGGGAGGCGGTGGGAGATAACAGGTTAGGGGACAGAGAGAAGGAAAGACAGAGCCTGGGGAAGCCACCAGAAACAAAGGAGACACGTTAGAGGAGGGAGCATTAGAGGAGGGAGCGTTAGAGGAGGGAGCGTTAGAGGAAGGAGCGTTAGAGGAGGGTGCGTTAGAGGAGGGAGCGTTAGAGGAGGGAGCGTTAGAGGAGGGAGCGTTAGAGGAGGGAGCGTTAGAGGAGGGTGCGTTAGAGGAGGGTGCACAGGGAAGAAGGTTAAGGATCACCAGGGATTTCAATACTCTCCCTTTCATCTGTCTCTTCCTAGAAATAGTCCCTGAAGTGTCAGCCACACACAATTTCTTCTCACTGGCACACAACATACTGAAGACATGATTCTAACCACAACCTGTAAAACCCACTCACATGAAAGCATTTGATTTAGGCGTTAACATATTAAAGATCTGGATCTGTATTCTGCACCATATTTAGGGGATGAAGGTGTTTACTGAGAGACCAGATATTAGTTTGAAGTGGTGTCTAGTTTGCTAGATTTGAATATGCATGCCAGTTAAATTTCACAAACTGTTGCTTTTTTAATTTTTACGTCTCATGTTTATCATAGTTTTACGTGTTATGTTGTCTAGTCAGGTTCAAGGCTGCACAGATAAAACACAGCACTTCACTCTGAAGCTCAACATTACTCAATACATCAACCTTTGACTTAGAAACTAATCTTCAAACTGGGAATTGTCCTTCAAGTGCTACGGTTTCATTTCAGTGCCATCATTCACATTCCTCTTGACAAAATTACAAAGTCACAAGAACGCTGTTTTCTCCTTTTGACTCGAATCCCTTCATGCAAACAATCTACTGTGTGAAAGCCCGAGGCAGCACAGTATTCACCAAAGTTCTCCGGCAAACTGTGCCAAAGTTCATATTTAGAACAGTGGAGATTACATTTTTAGAAACACTCATTCAAAACAAAGTTACACAATGTGAGATGACAGATCTTTAGGTGCTCACATTGGTGCTTTTTTCCAAAATACTTTTCCGGCACATTTACACAGAATGAACGACTGAACCCAGGAGGGTTCAGCGCGCTGTTTGATGACCCACAAATCCATTTGAAGAAGGTGGAAAAGCAAACATAGAGGAGGCATGTATTGTGTGAAGAAAAAGCTTGCAACGGTAAATATTTGTTGAGGCCGAGTTTGTGCTGTCGGTGTGGTGGATTGCAGTATGTTATACTGGACTAAACCAGGATTTTTATATAACTTAAAACAACAACATACATACTACAAAGTGAGGGCTAAGAAAAAAAGTGATTCATAAAAAACAGATCATCTATTTTTTGTATATATATAATCCTCCCACAAATTTAGATTATCTCAACACTCACACACACGCAAACACACTGACCCGAGTACCACACACACAAACAAACAAACGCAGGCACAGGACTTTCCTTGCATCAACACACACTCATTTTGTGTGTACTCCTCTCAGACACCCTGTTCCCGTCTTCAGCACGCCGCACAATAAATAATGCATTGAGATCTGTGCCACACGCTGCAGATTAAACACTAATCTCAGCTACAGGCTGATTTGTTTGGACTGCATCATCTCTAATGTTTAACTCTCGCCACAGTGTACATACCTTCTAAACATTGGAGTTCAGATGAATTCCCTTTCATCAGACTTATAAACAGGTATTGTGATTCAATAGGAGAGGATTTCAGTTCTATCTCAGGATTTCTATCTTTTGAATAATTTACTGGACTTGCTCCTACAAGCAAAGCGTGCCAACAACCAACGCAGTCTCTTCTTCTCAATGTCTTGGGCCGTAACATTCATTTCACCGCCCGGTTGTGTGACGTGAGGGTGAGGTGGCTCATGCTCTTTTTTGGGGGGATGAAAGACCTCGGTGTCCAATTTAATTTTGAAATTTCCATTTAGTTGCCAAAAAAGAGTTGAAATCATTTGAAAACTAGTTGATGATCCACTGACGTCCTCGTTTATGTGTTGGTAAACATTCACCAAAGAGACCATCCAGATGACAATTCATAGTTTTTTACATCAATGATGCATTATGGGGGCATACAACTGATTTGATCAATTTCGCTGAAAATTGTATCTAGGTCTTACTGCAGTATTGTACCTAATGGAGGGACTGGTGGCAGTTGTTGTTTTAAGGCCACCATGTGGAGAAACAGGTGTACTGCACTGCATTGAGCGTGCAGTGCAGTCCTCATGTGACCCAATGTGCAGCAATCTATCATCTAATGTTCCAGTGTGTGATGGTTCTACTATTAATATGCACTTCATGCATATCTTTCAGTTCAGAAGACAGGAGGCACCCAGCTCAAACTGCTCATATCGTTCCCAAACTACGGACAAGTTCTGCTGAAACCCATGAGGTAAGAGGCCGCGGTCCTGATGCTGACTAACTGAAAAACATCAACGACTGACAGTGTGTTTGTGTTGCTCCGGTTCAGTTATGCTGCCTGCAGAATCACAACTCGAGGTCACATAAAACAACACAGCAGAGCATCACCCCACTGTTACACGTCTCGTCCGCATACGGCCTCGTGAAATCCTGCTTCTTTTTGTCTCACAGACAATCCAGAGACGCAGAGACGGACATAAACCTCTTCTACTTCTCCGACTTTGAAAGACACAACGCAGAGATCGCTGCCTTTCACCTCGACAGGTACAGAGCCTATATAACCACTCGACCCATCACTGGAATTACATCTTCATGAAGCTGCTTTCAGCTTGTAGCATTGAACAGCATAACAGGGCTTTACTGAAGGATGAAGGGATCAGATTTTGGAGGTTAAAGGTCATATCTCAAGAATTGATATGCTAAGTATGACACTTGAACACTAATAGCATAAATATGATGAAGTGAAGACATTTTGGAAGAAACTTGAATGGTTGGCGGAGGCAAAACAACCGTAAGGCACAAATTCTAGCTTGTGTATCTTTTTTGTTTCTTTTTCAGATTGTTGGGCTTCAACAGGATCCCTCCAGTAGTTGGCCGACTCATCAATGTCACCTCAGACGTCAGAGAGATTACCACTGACAAAAAGATTTCTAGGACCTTCTTCACTTCCCCTGGTACGTGTGAGCGTTTTATTATTATCATGTATTTAGCTTTTAACCAGGTCCCATTGAGATCAAAGATCTATTTTACAACGGAGACTTATTGGCCAAAAGAGCAGCAGTTTGAACAATCAACACAAGAACACGCAGGTTTGAGAGGGTTAAAATTGATCAGATGACACATTTTGCACCCAGACATCCTGGACTCACAGATTTCACCGCAGCTTTACACTCAGGGTACATTCAGGGTTACTATAGGTCAGTCTGAAGGTTGCTCCATGATGGTGCAGAACATCTAAAAGCTTTCTTTACCAATTCAGTTCTGAGTTTGGAAACAAAACGTCCTGCGAATGAAGGTTGTAATTTCCTAAAAATTCAAATTTGAAAGAGAATACATATAGGTAGGAATTTTACCAAGAATAGCTTTGTTAAGAAGAACATACCAGTGCCATACAGCAGGCTAATTCACTTTTGAGTATAAAACACAGCGGTGAGTGAGAGATCAACAGTTTGTGATGAATCTCTGAGGCCCCATGATACAAGATATCCAGCATGTGAAGACCACTAAACTCTGGCTCTCGTCCCTCCAGCGGGGAACGTGTGTTTCTACGGCCAGTGTGAGTACTACTGCTCATCGGAGCACCCGGTGTGCGGTCGTCCGCATGAGCTGGAGGTCTCCCTGGCTGCCATGCTGCCTGACCTCGCCCTAGCTCCCCGCAGGTCCTGGAGGTCACCGTGGAGACGCTCCTACAGCCGCATCAAGCTAGCACAGTGGGTCCACTAACATTTGATACTTTTATCTGAAGTTATCAGGTCATCACTGTGTCATAATGTTCACAGGACGTGTATTATAAAAGATTGATTTGAACAGAAAAAAAGCTCTTTATCCACCTGTTTACTTTTATACATTTGGTTGTGGGCAGAACATTGGAAACACCTCCGTCTTAATATCTTGTTATGAATGTTATAAATTGTAATGTTTCTACTTTGTTGCTGTTGGATTTGACAGTTGAGATGATGTTGAATCGTGAGTCTTCACTGCCCCCCGGTGCTCCAAAGGAAGAAGTGCAACATTAAAATTGTGGTTTACACACCGTCAGCGTAATTAATATAGATGTCAGCAATATTACTGATTATGCACATAATTATTACAAACAGTAAGAGGCCAGTAGTTTGTTACACACTCCTGTGCAGTGGAATGCTGTTGGAGGCCCATCTGCACATTATAATAACAATGTGAACTCATTTGTTCCTGGAGCTCATGTGACACTATGGTTTTGAGGCCCTCGACCACAACAAAGTAATAGTGATATAAAAACTTCACTGTGCCAAATTTACATTATGGGTCAAACAAATGTTGTCGGCGGTTGCAGCATCTGTCCGAGGTGCTCACACTGATTTGATTTAATTGATTTGTCAACTGTCATAGTGTTATTGTGTTCATCCTAACTAAGATTAACTTGAGTCCGGTCTCACAAAGGTTAAATAAACTCCATAAAGTGGAAGTTTGGATAGTTAGCATGGGCGGCATTAGCCACCATGGCTAAGCAGATTTTAAAAAGTCAAAAAGTCCTTTAAATGGTAAAAAGTTTAAACTTAAAATGTGTTTCCCATCAGTATCCATTGTCTTCTTCTAACCTGCCCTGCTGTTCTCAGGTGGGAGAAGGACCCGGCCTACTGTGACGCAGTGAAACAGAGGCCTCCTTACAACCACGGCACCAGACTGGTGGATTTCATAGACATGGCTGTGCTGGACTTCCTCATGGGTCAGTCTCTCCGTTTTCAACTTGACCCGGTAGTCGGTCGGTTTGCAACATACACGGGCTCACAGGCACTAACCGCTTTGTCCTCCTTTAACAGAGGGGTAAATGTGGGGTGAAAAAAAGGGAAAATAAATTAGTCAACAAGAATATTATCGCCCAGGTAATTGGACTCAGGCTGTTGTCATGAATTTTCATATGACGTTATTAACTCTACAAAAATGTAGCCAAAAAAGCCTAAATGAAGGTGAATGTCTTTCATTCAAAGGTAACATGGACAGACATCACTATGAGACGTTTGAGAAATTTGGCAACGAGACTTTTCTGCTGCACCTGGATAACGGACGGGCGTGAGTATGAACATCTGCTACTGACTCACCTCAGCTCAGGCTGTTGATGATGTTATAGTGGAAACAACATGCGTATAATATAACGCATATCTGACAGCCAAATAATTAAAGTGACACTATATTAATACCTTTTTTTTAAATGAAATAAATATGTTTTCCAGGTTTGGGCGTCACTCTCGGGACGAGCCGTCTATTCTTGTTCCTTTGCAACAGTGTTGCAGGTAAAACTAAACAAAAACATGTCTCATCACACTTAAAACTAAGGATGGGGGAAATAAATTGTAAGACACTTGAGTAGGCCTCATTCAAGAGCTGATAAAGTTGGAAAGTGTAGTACAGACATGATTTGACTGAGTACATATAGACACATAGACAAATTAAAAGGAACACTCAATGCTATGGCCACTGCAGTTGTCTATATTTATGTTGGTCTTGCTCTCCACCCACATTTGTAGGATCCGTCGCTCCACCTTACTCCGCTTGCGCCTCTTGTCCCTCCCTGGCTTCCGTCTGAGTGATGTCATGCGGGAGTCGCTGCTCCAGGATCCTCTGGCAGCCGTCGCCCCGCTCCTCTCCGAACCTCACCTCTCTGCTTTGGACCGACGCCTCGCATTCGTCCTGCAGGTGGTGGAGGCCTGTCAGCAACAACAACACGCAGATGTCATTTACAACGACTTGGAAGGATACGAGCCACAGCCTGACTGAGGGTGGGGGGGGGGGGGATGACAAATAAACAATAAATGAGTGTCTCATACTGAAGTCTATTTCACTTATCAGATCATTTCATTTTGCAGGTTTTTGCAAAGATATCACAAGCAGTATTTCACAAGAGGGATGCGACAACACAGAGAAAAGTTTTACACAATAAACATGTTATTTTTCTCTTGTCCCCTATCATCTGGGGGCCCTCAGAATGTAGTAGGGGCCCTACTGATAAAGAATGCACAGGATGAAAGTGAGTGAGATTAAAGCATACAAATTGGATGTGTGTGGAAAGTTAGTGTGACTCCCTCCTGTTCTGATGAGCACCATATTCATTTGTTTGTTTGTAAATAAAAAAAGACCAAAACATATGAATAAAAGAGGATCAGGGAGGATTCAGTTAATATTGTCTCTGCAGTGGAGGACGCCCCCTGCTGCCAACTTGCCAACAAAATAAAAAATACTTTTACTTTCTAAACGTCACCGACCGATGGGCGGAACA